AAATATTGAAAAATAAATAAGAAAACCAAAATTTCATCATCTTTTAAAATATACGAATAATAAAAATCGCCAAACAAACAAAGCCATAGTTCAACGATCCAGTCAGAACACTTTCACAACCAGGATGTAAGAAAAGAAATAAACAAATAATAATAAAGAAACCAAAATCTGACCATCTCTAAAAATAGATAAGTTTGGCCAACATTGTTGTCTATCTCTCTTATCCATCGCACCTCGTTTAGGCTGGGTAGGAGGTTATCACTTTTGGCTGGGTTGTTTATCTTACGACAGCATCTGTTCCCATCATATATCCATATAACTGATTTGGGTGTATATTGGCCTTGTGTAAGTATTCAAAGAAACTGCACAGAGCGTTAAAACTGATCTTTATATAACAAAATATAATAATACAGAAGGATAAGTTTAAAGAGTTCAAGTCCTGGTGCATGAGAGAGAGAGAGAGAGAGAGAGAGAGAGAGAGAGAGAGAGAGAGAGAGAGAGAGAGAGACTAAGGGAGGAAGTAAATATATATACGTATATATATGTATGTATGTATCCAAATGTCGTAGTAGCCGCTTGACTACGTGGCGAAGGAAGTTAGGTTAGTTTTCAATCTATTAAGGACGGGTTAGACGTCTAAGGTTGCCAGCTAGTCGTATTTCGTTTTCATTGGCTATAATGGCTCTCATTGCCTTATATCCTGTTTGTGATATCATTTTTACCTCTCTTTCTTTCTTTCTTTCTTTCTTTCTTTCTTTTATTTGCACGTTGATATTTCTGCTTTTCTTTATCCGTTTCATTATCACAATTTTTTCTTATCATTAAATATTTTCTCTCTTTTTATTTCCAGCAGTTAGTACAGCTATGTTAAAGTCTATCCTACCTTCGTTGTATAAATGGTGCCCAGAATGGTATCATGAAAATTGTGCTGCGTCAATCTTCTAACAAAAATATATATATATATAATTTGAAATTACTTTAAAATCAATATTAGAAATTCTGGCTTTCTGACTGTGGATCGAGCATTTATCTCTTCCTCTGATTGTAAATATGCCCCTCCTTGAGGTGGGGGATAGTTTTAACGGAGACTAGTTGAGTTGGGTCATTTTATGATGAAGTTCGAAATACGAGATCGCTGGAAAATGAACATAGCAGGATAATAAAGGCCTTAAACTTGACGAAAATAAAATTTTATCGTCAAAATTTTTATGTTTTTATTAAGAGGAAAGAACAAAGTAATTTAAAATTATTTTTCAAAATTTTTCTGTCTTCATTAGAGCATTCTAACTTTTGATTGAAAAACATCGTTTCTCTTCATCAGCGAGTGTCCTACTAAATAACATGGCGGATTTTTGTGTACTTTTTTTTTAATGGCAGTCATTAATTTTGAAAATCTTGCAAAAATAAAAAGAATTGTCAGATTTTAATGAAACTTTCAGAAACTATTAAAAAAATGATGGAAATTATTATATGTTTATTTCTTTTTAAAGTCATGGTAAAATTTTTTTTATATATTTATTACCCCTCCCTATAATTAATTTTATGAAAACTCATGAAATTCTAATTTGTACAGTTTTAGTAATTAATTAGTTAAAAGCACAAGGCTTTGAGGAAAGCAAATCATTTTTTGCTAATTAATGACACCCTTCAACCAGAAAATCAGCTCTAAATTGTAACATACAAAACTCAATAAAACAAAGATATTATTTAATTTCAAAAGCTTTTAGTTGCTTTTACTTGTTTGCATGAATATGGATAATATTTTCTGAAAGCAAAAAACGTTTTCGATGAAAAATAATTTTTTTACAACAATTATTTGTTATTTCTTAAATTATTATTATTTTTTTTACATTAAAGTTGTTAAATATTCTAAAATTAATGAAAATCTTGTACACCTTAGTCAATGGTGTTATTAAGTAGATAAATATTTACAGATTATAAAATAAAGCTGGTTACTATCAGAAAGTTGCCAGTAGCTTAAAATCTGATATAACATGTTTTTTTTTGTGCCCCAAAATAGCTTAAATTCAGATATACGGAAGACCGGAAGCATCATGAAAGCAATAGTCCGTCACGTGGTTTGCGATGGCAGTAACATAAACATTTTGACGATAAAATTCTGCTTTCGTCAAGTTTAAGGCCATTTTTATTATGCTATGCCTACTTAAAAATAACGAGGTAAATAAGTTGTTCACATAAAGCTAAACTGTCACTTTTGACCTTCCGTACTATAACTTTTTCTCCCGTAAGATGAAATCACGCACATGTCACAACACCTCTGTTAAGCCCGACTTTCTGTCGTTTGAAAGTACATTTTTTTTTCAGTAAGTAATGTTTGTTTCAAAATACATTAAATAAACTTTATAATTTCTAATTTTCTTAAATTAAGTTTTTAAAAAATCATAATTGATTTTTAAACAAATTTTAAATGGAAACTTTCACTTTTGTAAACAAAAGTTAAAAAAATGTCTGACGATCGATTTTGTGCCAATTTTGCTGATAAAAAAAATATAAGATTTCTAACGAAAATTTTGGAAGTGCTAGAAATTATTAAAAAATGTAAAAAATGATCAAAATACTTTGATCTTTCCTCTTGATAATAACATAAACATTTAGACGATAAAAAATTATTTTCATCAAGTTTAAGGCCGTTATTATCCTGCTATGCTCATTTTCCAGCGATCTCGTGGTGGTACCTAATTCTCTTCGCTTTCTTTTTTTCACACACTTTCACTCCTTTATTTATTCATTCTATCTCTCACATCTTTCGATCATATCCCGTCTCTCTATCTTTTTTTTGTTTGTTTCATGTCTTTCTTTCTTTCTTTCTTTCTTTCTTATTCACCTTTTTATAAGTCTACAGCATATTATCCTCGTATTTTCGCTTTTACTTTTTTCTTTTTCTTTCTTTCTTTCTTTCTTAATCTTTGTACTTTGTTTCTTCCTGCTTTTTTCTATGTGTTTCATTAATTATCACTTTTTATTTTCATGAAATATTTCCGATCTTTTTATTTCATTCAATTTCCCATCTTCTTCTTCTCTTCATCCTTTTCGCGTCTTCTTCTGCCATTCTATAATTCCTTCTTATTCGTTTCTCTTGCTTGCTTTTCTTTCTGTCTGCATTTCTCCTCCTCTCTTCTTCTAAATGGGGTTTTCTGCCCTTTCTCTTTCCTTCCATCTCCTTTTTCGTAGCCTTGATCATTCTGCTGTTTTCTCCCTTCAATATAGCTATCTCATCTTTCTCCCCTTCCTTCTATTTTGACCACACAAGTCTCTCATTCTCCTCTTTCTACTATTTTCGCTTTTGCATTTTGCCCTACACTACAAACAACAACAACAACAACAACAACAACAATAATAATAATAATAATAATAATAATAATAATAAATTGTAGTCGCAAGTACAGGCCACCCCTTACGAAGAGCTTTATCTATGTAAAATATGTGTGACCTTAGCTCATTTTTTCCTAAAAAAATGCTCAGTGGAAATTGTCATAATGCCATTTCTGACCTTAGGTCTCTGGTTGGGACCCGGAAAGAAATAAGTATACATCAAAAAAAAAAAAAAAAAAAAAAAAAAGAAGATAATATTACGAAGAGTTTTATGTATGTAAAATGTGTGTGGTCTTAGATTTTTTTAAATGATCAATGGAAAATATCATGAAGCTATCTCTGACATTAGATCTCTGGTTGAGACCCGGAAGGAAATCTGTCTACAACGGAAATAATAATAATAATAATAATATTTTATATCAAATGAAGATCATAAATATGCAAGAGAATTCAGGTTAAATCTTGAAAATAAAGGTGAAATAGATACAATCATCAAGAAAAGTGAAACAAGAAGCGAAAAGGCTATGCTAGAAGCAACGAGAAGATAACTGGTGCTCCGAAGCCAAAATGCTAATGTAGATCAATTCGAAACTAACCAGTGGCTAAGAAGTTCAAATCTTAAGGGTAAGACAGAAGGGTTTATTTTTTATGCACAGGACCGGGGCCTCCTTACACACAACTACCAGTTTTGTTTTTTGTTTTTTTTTTTTAACTAAGCAAATACAAAGACCTGGAGATTGAAATAGAAAACACGTGATGCTTAAAAATAAAAACTATTCCTGTTGTACTTGGAGCTTTGGGACTGATCAAGAAAGGAACTCAAGAGAAAATCAATGGTGAATAATTTATCCAGGAAATCAGAAAAATAGTTCTAACAAAAACAAAAGGGCCAGCAAAAAGACACCTTGACTACCAAACAAAAGGAGACTACCAAGAAAAGCACCTTGACTACAAAACAGGAGAAGTCTACCAAGTAAGATAACTTGACTATCAAACCGGAGAAGACTACTCAGAAAGACACATTGACGGTCAAGCAGTAGAATACGACCAAGAATGACACCTTGACTACCAAACAGGAAGAGACTACCAAAAAAAAAAAAAAAAACGAAAAAAAAAAAACATACACCTTGACTACCGAACATGAGAAGTCTACCAAGTAAGATAACTTGACAATCAAACCGGAGAAGACTACTCAGAAAGACACATTGACGGCCAAGCAGTAAAAGTCTACCAAGAAAGACTCTTTGTCTACTAAGCAGAAGAAGACTGCGAAGAATTTCGAATTTCAGTTGAGTTCATTATGATCATTTATTCGCATTTTAGGCTTACGGACATTTCACGTGGAAACATCGTTTGTTTGTTTTGTTTTACGGCTTGTTCTCGTATGATCACCGAAGTCTTGCAACGTCGCGCCTGTTCAGTACCTGCATGGGTGACCGCTTGGGGATACTAGTAACTGTAAGCTTAGATGAGCGGTAAGTGTAATGGATAACGGCTCGGAGTTTGAAACCTGAGAGCCGAGTTCAAATTCCAGTCGGGTTCGTTATATTCATACCTTTCTCAAGAGTATTCGCGCGTTAAGAAAATATAACGATCTCAACTGGCATTGGAACACGGTTCGCCTATTAACAATTCCGAGCCATTATCCATTACACCTATTATCTAAGCTTACCGCACCTGTTATTTCCACGGGGTCACCCATCCTGATACTGACCGGCTCGACGTCGCTTAAATTTGATGATTGCGCGGGAACCGGTGTGTCAAAGTGATATGGCCGTAATCCCAGTTATCGGCATAGAAAATATTATAAATCAGGCAGATTCGGTTTTACAATGTGTTTGTAAAATCAGACAAGAGGTTTATTTGAAAATCGAACTCCATAGTGATAAAAAAAACCGTTATAATTAAGATAAAAGGTATTAAATTATGTAAAAGGAACAATAAAAGTGAAAATATGTGCACTTCGACGTAGTGTAATGGTTAACAAGTTTGCCGTGCTAGATAAATTACGACTGAAAAGTGAGTTCGATTTTCACTGGAGGCATCATACTTTCGGCCTTGTGCCACATCTGAGCTACCCTTAAAAATCACTATAATGGAGAAAATATTCCTGAGATTAGCAAAAGAAAACAAACAGTTGCTGAGAGCCATGGTCGCTCATGTGCTGAGGGAGTATGATCGATAGATGGACAGATAGCGGTCATTTTTCGAACTGGTCATTTTTTAAAAATCTACGCTTCTCATGTAATTTGCTTAGTTTGGCACAAGACCAAAGGTATAGGACATACAGTGAGAATCGAACTCTTTACTAATGAAATACACATCCAGCGACCCAGCCACCTTCATGCAACATGGAGTTCTGTTCTGTTTACATTTGTTGAACCTATGAGCAAATAAGTATATAGCCTGTTTACTGAAAATGTCAGGTTTTCAATCCACTATCAGGTTTAAAGATTCTGATTTTTGAACGGAAACATTGTTCTTTCTTTCTTTTTTCTTTCTTTTTTTTTTTTTTTTTTTCTTTCTTTCTTTCTTTCTTTCTTTCTTTTATAAACGAGCCGCTCTTAATTGCAGAGGAGACGTTCCGACTTAAAATGTCTCCTTCTCATTGATTGGTCGATGAATAGGCGTGTCGAATATCAACATCATTCGTCTGAAAAGTAATTGTGCCATTAATCCCGTCGGGCATTCATCTTTAACTGGTGTCGCTATTGTGAATTATCCTTAACTGCATGACCTCTTCTTGACATTGGAGTATTATCAACTGATAGGAGGTCAGTGGCCAAACTTTCTGATTACATTTTTTTGCGTGTGTTTCGCTACTAAAAACTTAATTACTTTCTCTTTTAAATGTACAGGGTTTTCTGAAAGTTTTGTCACTTGTACATAATATAATTTTCCATTTCAACACTCTGTGTGGTATTATCAAGGAGAACATTTCATATGAACGATACCAGAGTACCCATCAGTTGAAGGATGCCGTTCGGAGGGCCTTTGAAACAATCAACTATACACAGCTTCCTAAAATATCACATAGAACATGGCGCCGAATCATTTTGTACCACAGAAATGATGGATGTTCATACAGACCTTCTCGATGTGTGACAGCGTCAATGAAAGTGAATAAAGTGAATCCAGTGCATGTGCTTAGTATTATTTGTACTTCTATTGTTCTCATTACTTTTTGGTAGGGAGTGACACGACTTTCGGACCACTCTGTACCTTGGTGAAATCTTTCAGGTTGTTTGACGATTTTCAATATTTATTTACCGGAAAAAAAAAGAACACTTCTGTTTTGTTAAGAATACAACTCTATACATAAAATAATATTATTTAAGGGTCAACTCATTAGAGTCAGACGCATTAGACATCATACACACTGGTGTAACAAATGGAGGTATGAAAAGACGCAGAGTTTCCTCTAGTCTAGTCTATAATACCGTCTACACGGATAGCAAGTAGCCCTGGGCGCCAAGTACATGGAGACGCCTCATATTTTAATTCCACATTGAATCTAACTCCGCTGGTGAGACGTGAGTTCCATTGGAACAGCTCCTTCTAACAAATCACTACTTGGTGGAACCTACTCCCAAGAGGATGCTTCCCCGATCACTATAATCTTAAGCCGTTCAAGTCTAGAGTCAACCGTTATCTTCCCAACATATTCGTATAAGCTGTGTCTCCAACTCTCTACCACGAGTGGCTCTTTGGCCTTGTACAAGGTGAATATTATTGTAAAAAAGGTATTCAAAAATTTAAAGACAATATCACTGAGTAGTCTTCTTTTATCTGGTCTTACATTTTAATCATATGTTTGACATTTATTGTGGCATACAAAAAATTAAAGACGAATGTAGTATTTTTTACCCGATTTTATATTATAATTACATATTTTCAAAGTTTAACATTTTTTAGACATGGGAAATTTAAATTATAACACAGACTTCTTCATTATTAATATTGTTGTGGAATTGCTGAACACCCCAATAATGAGAGAAATGCTGCAAAAATCATTTTTATTCTCTGGATTATTAATAATAAATTACCATAAACAGGACCGCTGCAAGAGTTACATTCTCCACTCCCGAATCTATGCCACGGGACACCTCTACAACATCTCAATTTTCATAAGGTAGTATTCATATGAAGTACAACTTTTATTGTAACTTAATTATGTACAATAATGGATCATATGTAAAAGAGGTGAAAAATTCAACTTGAAAAATTGAAAATAAATATAATGTATCTAAATACAAATTAGAGACCTGTCATATTAGATCATTCTATCTTAAATATATCAACAATATTTTGCGGCAATTTTTAGCATGAACTGGAGATATTGTTAAAAGGTTGAATATTTTTTAACACATTTTTAACAAATTATTATTTTTAACAGATTACTATTTTTATCAATAGTTTTAACATATGTAAGTAAATAGTAAATTTATGTAGTGTTTTTTTTTTTTCGAGACTTTCCATGAGCAAAACAAATTCACTGATTTTAACAAAAAAAAAAAACTCCTGAATGTCGTCAAAATCTACGAAAATCTTTCCTCCTTTAATAGTTGTGTTTAATTTAATTTGTAAATTATATAAATATAGGTAGTAAAAAACAAATGTTGACAAGATAGTGATGGCCACAAAGCACTCCCCGGGGCTCTCAACCAGACTTCCCCTTTCGGTCGTGGATTTCGGGGGTAGTACGTACCGGCCCTGACCTTAAATAAACAATATTTACTCACACGAATAACTATATTTTGTCATGTTTCAATTCAGTCAGGGAAGTGGATATTTCCACAGACTTTGCAACATGGCATTTCTTTCGTAATAATCATTTAAATATTAGATTAACTAATTTGTGTTTGGAATTCATGTGTCGTATGCTGCCGGCATTCCTAAAATTAAAAAAAAAAAAAACCAGAAGAAGAAACTTCACCTTCCAGGACTAGTGATTGTTGAAAAACTGATTCAGGATATAAAAAGGCCACAAAATTGACAAGGAGGACCATTTACGGCCCAAGCCGGGTAGGGTTATCATCTCTCAGTTACGTCTATATCTTCGGGTAGAGTGTGACTCAGTTGTATCTCTGTACGCGGACAGAAACGCGGCAGGAGGGTAAGAAAAAAATACTGTGAGGTGCCCTGACCCGGGGAACAGCTGCCAGCGGCTACACCCACCCTCGGTTTCACTAGAGAGGAGAGGGGTCGGTAGTCATATCAATGCCAGCGTAACCGATGGTTGCGGTGGCTAGGCAATTTTTGTCCCTGGTCCGAGTGTACGCGCTCGGGTCGCCACATTAAACTCGACCTTGCGTCACATCCCGTCTCAGTAGGGAGACTTGGGTAAATACAACCACCCACGGATGCGATGCCTAGGAACAAATTGTAGTGTCTGTCCCAGCAGCAGACAAATGACTCATGGCTCCAGCCATCATCATCATCAGCAGCAGCAGCAGCAGCAGCTCCAGCTCAAAATCGGCCGCCACTCCAGCCAGCAATATGAAGCCATACTCGCCAGCAGTAACAACATGCGATAGACTATCTTTTGCGATGTCAACGAATACTCGTTGTCACTTTCGTAATGCTCGTTGTAGTAGAGACTTTGTAATCGCAGATTAACGCCGTTGAACAATACTAGTGTCCGACGCTTACGTACAACACACGCACTGTCTTTTCTTTTTATGTACCAAGTCATTTCAGGACATAGGCAATCATGGCTCTCCACCTCCCTCTATCTCTTGCAGCTCTCAGCAAGTTCCTTCCCTCTGCGTCCTCCCTCAGACCATGCTCTGTCATCCACCTGCTCAAGCTCGTCAGGTATGTCATGCGCTGGTTCCCCTTGTCTCTCTTTCCCTCTATTCGACCTGCGAGTATCAGATTCTTCAGGCCCTCCTTCCTCATTATGCGTCCCAGAACCTTGATATATTCGGGAAAGATACGCATAGGAAACGAGTTCTGTGAATATGCAAAAATAGAAAGGAGCGTAAGGCAAGGATGCATCTTCTCACCGGACCTGTTCAACCTATAAAGCGAGGCAATCCTGAGAGAATTGGAAACCCTACCGGGATTTAACATTGGCGGCCACAATCTCAACAACATAAAATACGCAGACGACACAGTACTGAAAGCAGACACGGAAAAGAAATTACAAAATCTCCTACAGAAGGTAGCGACGGAGAGTGAGAAGAAAGGACTAAGCATAAACTACATGAAGACAGAATGAATGCTCATCAGTAAAAATATTAGCTCGAAATGCGATTTAAAGGTCGGGAACATTAGAATCCAGCAGACGTGGAAGTTTGAATATCTGGGAAGTGTCTTGTCAGAGGACGGTAAATGTGACACTGAGATCCGTAGGTGTATTGGAATGGCCAAGGACGCATTACAAAAGCTGGGCAGAGTATTGCGAGACAGAAGGATTTCTTTGGTAACAAAGAAAAGAATACTGAGCTGTTACGTGGCATCTGTCCTTCTTTACGGCAGCGAAAGTTGGACGATTTCCTCAAAGATGAAAAAGAGACTCGAGGCGACGGAGATGTGGTTCTACAGAAGGATGATAAGGATATCATGGACCGAGCGTGTGAGCAACGATGAGGTCTTGGAAAGGATGTAAACAAGGAGAAGGCTTATACTTAACATCAGAAAGAGGCACAAAAAGTACTTGCTCGATAATACTCGCTCGAAAAGTAACCACCGAATAGTGATCCGTATAGTAATAGAGGATAGAGTAGAAAGAGTGAACAATTAGATGCCACGCTAATTCCCATATAGACATTTCCT